TAACAGAAAGGACTTATCTAAGGTTACAGGCCACAAGGCCTTGTACACATTTGTGACTCAAGTTTGCTACACTTCATCTTATTTAGTTGCCAGAGTAGGTGAAATTTCCCCCTCTCCTCCCCACATACACTCTGCAGTCCAAGAAGCAAATGTCACATTGACGTAACGGGTTTACATTTCAAAAGGAATCCTATTATTGCTAACTGGAAATCTAGATCAGGTCTGCAAGGGAGTCCCCTTTTCTCCATCTCTTTATGCAAAGACACCAATAATGGATGCTTCTATCTTCAATGGGGAGGTCATCCAGACCATCACAAAAGTAAAGGACTGTGGCCCCGGGCAGGGACCAGATTACATATGTTGACTTGGAACGATTTGACTGAAGTATGTTTCATTTCTCCCATACATCTAGGGCATGAGCAATCAGGTAATGATGGACAATACCACAGCAGTGTTTTACATAGAACTGCTGAACTTCTTAAACCTCTGAATGCTGGTAGCTGCAACATGAAAGAAGCAGGGAGTGAAATATTCTGGAAATGCTCTGTTTGTCCTCTCCCTCAGCATCCATACTAAGCCATCAAGTGAAGCAGGCCTATTTCTTGGGCTATGACAGTGGGCCTACAAGGGGGCTACCCTCCCCAGTGGCTAGAGGGAGGTCAGTAAGTGAATCACAAATAATTTCTTGGGACAAAAATGACAAAACTGAAATGGGAGTAAAGTTTACAGGGTGCCAAAGGACACTAAGCAGGGAACCCTGGTTGACCAAAGTCAACACTCATTGCTGTTCAAAGGCAACTAAGGAGTCGTGTGCCACCCAATGAAACTCTGCTTGGATGCTGGGCTAGACAGACCTGTGGTTTGACCCAGTGTATAGCAATTCTGATATAAACAAATAGGGAAGAGTCAGTTTGACTTCTCAATGTCAATAAATTATCTTCCTGTCAAAAGGAAGATAATTTATGGGTCATCAAGGGGTATATTGTAGCTCTCCAGCTATCAGCATTAAAACACAGACTTGCACTACATACAGGCAGAACATCATTAAACATTATTCATAATATAGACATTTAGAAACTCAATATTATCCTCTATAACAAAGAGAAAGTAAGAGCCTTGAAACTTGGAAGATCTGAAGAGAGAGGAATTATGTGGCAATGAGGTTTCTGGGAAGAGTGAGTGAAAATGAACTTGAAAACTATCTTTGAAAAGGTATCATTCTTGGTGGTAACGTGTTTTCTAACTGAGGAAAGTTTTGTGAAACAGTCTGTAGAGACACCTTATGAAGATTTTTCTGTACAGAGGCTGCTAAATCTTCAAAAACCGTAAGAATGGTAGTGGCACTGAACAAAGCAGTGACACTTACTGTGTCAAGGCTTCTTTTTTTTCCTTGGCAAAGACTGGAAAATGAAACCAAAAAAGGGTCTTGATAAAATGATCTGTCAAACTTGAATTCAGAAAGGTTTTGAAAAAAAAGGCTGAAAGCGAACAAAAAATAGATCCCCTCTGTCCAGCTCGAGTGTTTGGGAATGCACCTTAAAACTGTTTAGAACTAGAACTGGGTTGCAATAATGTATACATAATTTTTAAGTGTATTTGAAACCAGATAGAGATTTCGCTTAGAGCAGAGGTTTTTTTGTTAATCTTGGTTTTATTCTTGGTTTATTCTGTGACCAGACTAACAACCATTTAGTAACCTTCTGACATGTTTAAGCCACAAAATAAAAGCGGGCCATGTGGCGTGGCTCAAAAGAGAGATTGGGAAGTGTATAGTGATCTGTGTTCCCATTATCTGGACTTGTTAGTCAAAAAATAAAGAAAAAGAAAAAGTAACCTTAAGTGCCAACCTTTGAAATTCAACCTGGGCTCTTCCCTTCTCATATATTCACACCTGAATGAAGATTTTACAAGCCAAGTTAGACATCCACATAAGTTCTTGCAAGCTGTTGTCCTCAAATGGCTAAGGATATGCCTGCATGGCACCATGCAGTGCAATATGATATACAAGCTAGGTCTACTCCATGGTATCAGATACCATCAGATGGTGACAGAACTTCTATGTGGAGCATGTTTCTGGCTATTGTCAATTCAAAGAAAGCCAACCAACAACACCTGCCAGAAGCGAGAAACAGAGGGAGGTGTACCAATGTGTTTACTTGTAATCATACCATACTTTGTCAACATTTTGATGAACATTTTTTCAATAAAGAATTTAAATCTGAAAAAAAATCCCTGACCTACCAGAAACATGCTCTTCCCTTGTATATTATCTCTTTGTAAATCTCCCCTTTTCTGGTATCCAGCAGTGGTGTATAAGCATCTTTTACTGCATTTTGCTAATCTAAATAGTAGGGCTGTGCAAAGCTTTGATCCCTGATTCAATTTGGCAAAGATTTGGCGTGATTCATTGGCCAAATCCAAATTAAATCAGAGGACCCTTTAATCTCTCCGAATCAAATCTGAACCCTCCGAATTGATTCAGAGGGATTTGGAAGGATTCAGTGATTCGGACATAGAGACAGCTTTAAATGTGTTTTCCACACACCTCTAGGTAGCAGGGGCTCATGAGTGCTGCAATGCTGGCGTGCATGGAGTGTCCCACAGAAGCACAGGGGGCTCCCCAGTGCGCTTGGCAGCAGACCCAGAAGTGGACCAGAACCACTTCCAGTCAACTTCCGGGTCTGCTGGGGAGCTCCCCTGCACCCCCCCAGCAAGGTGACTGGTGCCTCCTGGGTCTGGGGGAGGCACCCGGGGTCCCCCTGTGGCCAATTGCTGAACCAGGGGCATGAGGGGGGAGGTCCCGGCAGACCCAGAAGTGGATTAGAAGTACTTCCAGTCCACTTCTGGGTTCACTGGCGAGCACGTGGAGGGCCCCCCCACTCCTGTGGGATGCTCCAAGTACCCCAGCATCGCAGCGATCATGAGCCATGTCTGCTACCTCAAGGTATGTAGAAAAAACTTTTAAAGCTGTGTCTATGTCCAAATCACTGATCCTCCAAATTGGCATCAAATCTTCAGATTCAGCCAAATCAAATCGGGGACAGTGATTCAAATCAACTAATCGAATCATTGTCCCTGACAAATCCAAATCAAATAGAGGCCCACTTCGCGCATCCCTACAAAATAGTATGGAATTATGTAGAAAATGCTGCATACCAGTACCGGTGCTTGGTGAGTTAGCTGTTTGCTGAGTTTTTGTCATCATAGTTACACGTGGGTGGTGATTTAAGAATACCATGTGGAATGACAGCATGATGAGTAAGAGGCTTCTGGCTATTTAGACAATGGACTGTAGCAATGCAGTTCTGAAGCATACACCTAAGGTGCACTGATGTCCTCTTTCTGTCTGAATGTGAGACTCATCCCTTCCTATTGTACATAATTCAAACTGCTGTCTGAATCCAAAATTTTAAATTTACCTTTGGGTATATCATAGCTACAGAACAACCAGCAGGAAATAAGGGATTCACATAATGTTTTTAGTCACAGTTCACATGTGTTATCATCATTTACCATGTATGCTAAGTAGCATTCATGTTCTAACGTTATTTCTGAAGTTTTCTATGAAGAAAGAATTATGCCCAGTTTACAGATGGGAGAAAATGAGGTAAAGAGATGCAGTGATTTTATTTTCCAAGACTACAAGCAAATCAGATTTATAATTAAGGACCTTTGGATTCCTTGTCCCCTGATGAAATCATCAGACTACGATTGCATGTAACAACCCACCTCATACTTATTTTTGTCATATCAGGGAAAGTTAGAATTTCAGTGGGCGCAGCTATATGTCACCCTGTGTCACCATAGCGACACATTACGTTGCTGTGCGATGCACTATAGCGATGTAGTGATCATGTGAATCTACACTTGACTGGCAGCTACTTCACCTTAGTGGTACACTAGCAGTGGTGCGATCTCCTGTTTTAGCGCACCACTACAGTGAAATAGCGACTAAAACTAACTGTGCCATGCTTCAGAAATCCAAAAGGAAGTATTAAAGCACGTCACAGTAACAACATTGCCATAGGGCAACATATAGATGCGTTCCCTGATTATGAAGTCTTATTTTATAACTGACCAATGAAAATAATGATTCTGCCTAGTGGTTTTTTATGAACGTCAGTTTTGGTTTTAGTTTGGGAATTTTCACCGTTAACTTTGCTTCAACTTTCTGATTCAAGCAAATCAAACCTAAAAGTTATTTGAAACCATCCTGGTTTGCCTAGTTTTGCATTTACCTGAAATTATAAATTAAAACTGTGCTCAGGCTTTCTTGAGAGGCCTGAGAATTTTCTGATGGCTATGGACCACGTGTACAGTGTGTAATAAAACTAGAGATCAGATGAGTTCCATTGCATTTGAGTTTTCTCTGTTGGCATGTGGCATGTCTCCAATTCTAATAAGTCTCGTTGGAAACAGGAGATACTTTTTCCCTAAACTAACTTGTGGACTATCTTATTTCAAAATAGGGAAGGAAGAATTTGATTTTTCTGTTTTAAAAAGTTTTTTCTTCAATTAAAGGACATTTTTGCTTTTTTACAAAATATTATTGATCACTTCTGAGATAAATAGTTCCTTTTAATGTCGGCGAACCCTGCCTGGTTATATCTCTTGGGCTTGATCAAATTATTTGTGTGACAGTGGTTCAATAAACAAACATTAAGGAGCATTTCATATATAAAATAGGGAGAATGTATATAGTTAAAAAATATACTGCCAGATCACTCTGCTTCTGACTCCATCCTCCCCTCTCTCCCAGAAAGAGAGGGTGTGAATGAATCACTTGTGACAGATGTTAGCCATGCTGCTGAAGTGAGTTACTGGAACTATTGGAACTACTTAAACCCAGTTATAAGACTGTTCCAAGTGCCTTTGTAGACCAAAATAGGGGTCCATAGGGGACCCCATCATAGATGGAAGGGGAATTACTGTAATAATGAATTACAGGAATAATTTGAGCAGCCTTATAAATTAAATACTGTTTCTGAATTGCATTGCAGGTCCTCCAACTATACTATGGGTACTCGAGCTTTTTCCCATGAGAGTATTTTCATACCTGATGGGCGAGCAGAGAGTGAGCAGGCAATCCAAGCTATGTCACAGGACAACATCTTGGGCAAAGTCAAAACCCTTCAGGTAAGATCCCAGAAGCATGTGACTATACAGGTGTAAATGTTCAACGGTGTTGGTTTTATGGATAAGGCCTGTTAAAGTTGGTCATTTTCCAAAAGAACTTAAAGATAGCTTCTAGTTGAGGATTTAACCTTGTAGTCTATGGCCCCAGTTCTGGGGGCAAACTCATGCAGGGAGATCCCTCCAACCATGTGCACAGCCACTGACATAACTGGTATTTGTGGAGAATATGCATTGACCTTACAGTGTTGGAGCCTAAACAGACAACACAGACCAAAAGAGGGGAAAGAATGGGACACAGCATGAGATTTGTTTTTATTTTGATGTAATTATTTTAGTTCTTTTTTTTATTGGGCCTTGCTCTTGGTAGAGTTTGATTGCTCTTGTACCACAATGTTCCAGGAAATGTACAAGAGGCAAGGGTTTATTTGTGGTATCTTTTATTAGGCCAACTGTATAGTTGGGAGAGAGATTGGACAAGCTTCAGGTTTGGGAAAGAAGCCTATACAGTTGGTCCAATAAATTATATCATAAAAAGAACTGCCTCTTGCTTTTAGTCCTATAACTTGTGAACTTTGCTTCTTAGTTTGTTTATACACGTCTCCCCTTTTTAAAATAAAATGCATTAGACCGTCTACAGAAGGTAGAAATATTGAATCCCTTCAATATTTCCCTTCAAGCCCTAATGTCTATGAAATCTATGAAATAAACAAGTCATCATACAAACTTGTGCATGTATTATAAAATCAAATGCAGTACTGCAAGACTCCATTGGAGCAACCCTCAAAACAGAAAACTAATCAATAAAAAAGAAAATAATTTTCTAAGGGAAAAAAGCATTTGAATTCTGAGAACACAACAGACTGTGCAACGGCTAAAAAGATTATTGTATTATGAAAATAAAGCCTTGTCAGTGTCATTTTTAAGTTTTACCTCTCAATGCAAAAGGAACATAAGAGTAAAAAGACTTCTGCATAGAGACCCCTGAACTGGTTGAGTTGGGGCCAGATTACTACTAGTGCTTTAGAGGTGAAACTCCCTATATCCTGTTACTGATCAATATCCCTCTCCCTCCACCTTCCTTTTCCCATGACCATGCATTTCTGATTAAATAATGAAAGAATCAATAATCATTTGTCTACCAGAGGAAATTTACCACTACAATTATTTACTACAGCAGCAGAACTCCCTGTGTGGACAATTATTCTGGAATCTAGGGACAAATTAAAATGAAAAAAGGCACCTAAGAAGTTACATTGGTATAACATGGATTATAATGGATAACAAACTGCATATACACAGCTGTTATAGATTGTCTAGATCAGGAGTTGTCATCCAGGGGTACGCATACCCCTGGGGGTACTTGGGCCGGTCCTAAGGGGTACACGGGGGCAGACAGGGTTGGAGTGCCACTGCTGCCCTCACCCCACCCTGGCCCTGCTCCTGGGAGGCGGCAGTGCTCCATCCCTGCCTGCCTGCACGCTGTCCCTGAATCCCCACTCGGCATCCTGCTGTGCGTTCCCCCCACCCCCTCATAGATTTCATAGACACTAGGGCTGGACGGGACCTCGGAAGATCAAGTCCAGCCCCCTGCCCCAGGGGCAGGAAGTCAGCTGGGGTCAAAGGATCCCAGCAAGATAAACATCCAAATGTCTCTTGAAGGAGTCCAGAGTAGGTGCTTGCACCACCTCTATCGGCAGGCTGTTCCAAGCCTTGGGGGCTCAGACAGTAAAGAAGTCCTTCCTTATGTCCACCCTGAAACGGTCTTAGAGAAGTTTATGACTGCTTGACCTCATCATCCCTTGGGGGGCTCTGGTGAACAAATGTTCCCCCAGATTCTGGTGACCACCCCTGAGCCGGCACTTTTCCAGGGTGTAGAGTCACATGGCTCTCAGCCTCTCATCGTAAGGTCTGTTTTCCTGACCTCTGATCATGCATGTGGCTCTCCTCTGGACTCTCTCAAGCTTCTCCACATCCCTTTTAAATTGTGGAGCCCAGAATTGGATGCAGTACTCCAGCTGTGGCTTCACCAAGACCGAGTACAGCAGGAGGATGACATCCTGGGATTTGCTAGAGAAGCATCTATGGATAAAAGCCAGAGTTTTGCTCTCTTTACCAGCTGCAACATCACATTGGTGGCTCATATTCGTCTTGTGGTCAATCATGACCCCAAATTGCATAAGTAATTAAATGAGCATTGCAAACAAATGTAAGAAAATAAATATTTGGATTGAAGGAAAAACATCACTAGGCAGTTCTCGTGAGACTTTCCGTCAAGTGAAGAGTTCTTTAGCTGAACTCTGCTACAGACTGCTATCTGCACCCATTTTTTAACTGACTTCTGTCACTTTTTGGATCCAACTCAAACTCTAAGCCATAGGGATGGTAGTGTTTTTGTAGGGATATTGATGCATGGTATGTGCCTAGAATGGGAGCAAAATTTTGGATGGAAGAAAGCTGGGGTCCACTCTGGGCCCACCTCTAGTTAAACTGGAAACTTTTCAGTGGCATTTCCTATGCAAACATGAAGAGGGCTTTGAAAAAAGCTGTTGTAATATACCTCAGGTGCAAGCTAACATGCAGAAATCTGATTTTATTTTTATTACTGCAATTATAATTTTATTACCACAACTATGAAACACTATAAATAACAATCTGATGTAAAAATTCAGTCACATAACCTCATAGGGTGCATCCAGATGAGTGCAAACATGCCTCCTGCAGCATCTTGGACTCTTTTCAGATGCTGCAAGACGCATGCTGGGACCAAAAAAACATCTCCTGTGCTGCAAATCTGCAGTGCAGGCTCAAAATTTGATACTTTGAGATCCAGGTAACAAAATACACCCTGGGGGAGAAAAAGCAGGGCAAGGCATGGTCCTGGACTGTGCCCTGAGGCAACCAGAGGCTCAGTCTTCCAGGGATGTTCTGGTAGCCAGCCAGAGCATCTCTGTGGCTGGCCCTTGCCCCAGTACTGCAGCATGCTTCCTGCCTGTGTGGGGCAAGCAGCGGTGCAGGCTGCAGGGACCTGGACCCAGGCTTTGTGCCAGGTAAGTAGGGGGTGGGGAGGGCTGG